CATTTTTACCCGTTGGCATTGCATTAATCATATAACAAATGTATACTTGTAAGTATGGACAATTAAGTGTCTACAGAATTACTTGTCATATTGGAGTGGATTCCTTTTTAAATCAGTACATCTTACATTTAGATTTTGAGTGGTCTATTACCCTCTTCCAAAACTATAGAGGGAAATAAATTATGGCAACCAACACATTAGTGAACTCAATTCAAAAACAGACATAGTAACCTTAAGCCAGTAACAACACTAACAATTTGAGGCAAGATGTAGTATTTCTTGAAAACTTATCCCTTTTGATATCTGTGAAACTATTCAATTCTTTTTAATTACTTCCCTTCAATTTGAAAAAAATAAATAAATACCACCAACTCCTTTAGATTCTCGTTTTAAACAAATTATCCCTTATTTCTCAGTTTTTCCAATTACCCTTCAGGTTCTTACCTCCCTCCCTCAGTCCACTCTGCTCCCCCCCTCTCTCTCTCCCTCCCCCTCCCTCCTCTCTCTCTCCCCCTCCTCCCCATCTCCCCACCCTCTCTCTCTCTCTCTCTCTCTCTCTCTCTCTCTCTCTCTCTCTCTCTCTCTCTCTCTCTCTCTCTCTCTCTCTTCTCTCTCTCTCTCTCTCTGGGCCTGGTGACCCCACCCCCGCATGGGCAGAACAAGACGGGAACACTCACCGCTTGTTGCGCTGTGGGGTCATCACCGCCGAAGAGGTTGTGGGGAAACCCAGCCTCCCCTTCTTCCCCCCAGCCTAGCATGGGTGGGCCCTGGAAGGGAAAAGCTTGCACTGTACAAAAATAACAGAAACAAAATCAAGTGGATGAATGGCATGGAGGTGGGTAGAGCAAAGCAAGGTGGGTCTAAAGAGATGGGGGCTCGGACTGAATGGGATGGAAGGGGACAGGAGCGGATCAACTTGAGAGTGAGTGTACAGAAGAAATGGGCTTCAGAAATATGCATTGTCATTATCAAAAACAAAAATAATTGATAATCTCTAGTTCTCTAATCCAGTATACATAGAGCAATCAACCAAAGTATTTTTTCTTTAGTGAAAAAAGTTCCTAGGTGTTAAGGAAGCCTTCTTTTGTGTGGACATCAATACAAAGAAAGGGAAAAATAGAAAGGATACCAAAAAGAGAGAATGTGTAAGACAGACAGAACAAAAAGAGAAAGAACAAGTGAGAATCACAGAGGGAGCAAGAAAGAAAAAGAGGAAGAGAGAATGGGTAAGAGTAAGAGAGAATGAAGACATGAGAGAATGAGAGCGCGAGAGAATGAGCAGAATAAAGTCAAGAAAGTCATGAAAGAGAGCAAGAGAGAATAGAATAAAAGAAAGACAAAGATCAGGAGAGAATGAGTGACCAAGAAAATAAGACAAGAGCAAGATAATGAAAGACCAAAACAGAATGAAAGAGAGCTTGAGAATGAAATAGAGCAAGAGAGAATCAAACTGACTATGAGAATGTGACAAGCAAGCAAAAAAAAAATTCTGACAAGACTTCAACAATGAAAGGGAGCACGAGAGGGGACAAAGTGTGAGAGAAAGCCCCACAGAAAAGAGAGAAATGACAAGAGGCATGAAAGCAGCCTTACCCCTTGGAGGCCCGAAGGCCCTGGTATCTGGTCAGCACCATAGTCCATCTGGTCGTGCTCTTCTTTCTCAATCTCCCCGGGATGGCTTTGGTAGTCAGAGAAGTCATTGCTGGCCTCCTCGTCCCCGTCCATCTCACTGCCACCCTCTTCACGCTCAGGGTGTGGGTCCTTGGAGCCAGGAGGGCCGGGGGGGTCTGACCCATCATCCACCTCCACCTTAATCATCTGGACCGGCAGTAGTGACGAGTCCGACCGCGGAGAGGCCGAAGTGGGGTGGGAGTGGTCCTGGCCTCCACCCCCTCCACCTGGGGGGGAGCGCAGTGATGAGGGGTCTGGGGCAGGTCTCACAGAACCTAGCTGGGAGTCCTGTCTCCCACGTAGACCGTCCACGTGCCGCAACTCCTGCGACATACTCGCCGGAGGAGGCATGGACTGTGATGGCACATGTGACTCAGGTACAGATGACAACTGTGGGGGTGCTTGACTAGGCACTGATGATGAGGGAGCAGGGTGGGAGGACGAGGAGGAGGAGGAGGACTGGGACGCACCCCGGGGGGCTGGGGGCGTCGGAGCCCTCCCACGCTCCCCGCCTGAGTCCCGTCTCTTCCGCTTGGCTGGCGGACTGTCCTCCCTCCTCTCAGGTACATTAATGGGCCCCTTTTTCTGAGCCTTGGTGGGGTCCTCATCTGGCACTGCCAGGCCCTTAATTCTTAGACACTCGGCCGCTTTGATAAGTCCCGCCAGTTCACTCTGTCTCACATCCACTTCACCTATGTACATGTAGTCTAACAAGGCATCTAAGTCTGACTTTTTAATATCTTTGAGCACTACCACAGGATTTTTACACGGGGTCTTTTCAAATATTTCTGCAAAATAGTCACTACAAACGTTGACATCAGCTTGTGCA